TCTATTGATCACTGTCTTAATGCATTGTAGCCCCGCCACTGACTTAAATAGCTACGAGGTATCCCCCCCCCAAAAGATTAGAACAGATGTCTGGTGCTGTTTGTCTCCATTATTATTGTTTCTAAAGCTTGGCTTATTTATGAGATCTGGAAAACTGTTGATAACCTTGGATATTCACCCCTCCAAATGGTTCAAAAAATGTATAAGTCTAAGATTTGGTCTCTAGGCGGGCCAGTCTAAAACGTTGATACTGTGACTTTCAATACGCATATGTGTCATACGTGCCTTTGACAGAAAGCATTTGTTTGCTGACCAGAAAGTTCAGCCATGGCCCCTGTAATGTCTTCATTTAAGGTATCTTTTTAATATAAGTGCACATTTAGACGTGCAGGCGCTTACAAACAGGTCCCCTTCCCTATGTGCAGAGTGCAACCCACGCAATAATACTCCTCCCACAGTCCTTCGCTTTGGGTACAACCCAGTCACGGTTGATTTGTTCACTTTCCTGCCTCAAGACCCATATTTGGTTATTACTTAAAAACAATGTGGAGAGACTTATCAACCAAAAACAATTGCGACCAATTGCCAAGATTCTAATGTTGATGGGCTTTATTTATACCAAGCAAAATTATTCGAAAATTCTAGGGGAAATGTGTGGTTTTCGTATTCCCAAACATGCTAAAGAACGGAACCACATTCATGGAGATTACGAGAAAGGACTACACAGATGATCCTCTTTCATTGGCCACACTGGATGCAGTCAATTTCCTGTTATAACTTTTGCAACTATCACTTAATGTACATTTTCACAGTTCTAGTACTCTCAGTCAATCTGAACATATTTCTTACCTTGTACACGATCAAGTCATATTATTTCATGCATCTTGAGTATCTCACTTATCAATTATCCACACTTCTTTCAGCCTATATTCTCTCTCCTCTCTCAAGTTCAATTTAATGTATGATATTTTATTGTTTTGCTTGCCCTTCTATATCACTAGGGCCGGCATGGCCAGGTGGTTAGGGTGCTTGACTCGCAATTGAGGGTCGCGAGTTCGAATCACCGTCCCAACAATGCTCGCCCTTTCAGCCGTGGAGGCGTTATTATGTGACGTCCAATCTCACTATCCATTGATAACAGAGTAGCCCAAGAGTTGGCGGTGGGTGGTGATGACTAGCCGCCTTCCATCTAGTCTTTAACTGCTAAATTATAGTACACGAACAAAACGCTCATTTATTATGGAATGAACAATACAGTACGGAAGATGACTTTTCACATCACTGCTAAATTATAGTACACGAACAAAACGTTCATTTATTATGGAATGAACAATACAGTATGGAAGATGACTTTTCACATCACTGCTAAATTATAGTACACGAACAAAACGTTCATTTATTATGGAATGAACAATACAGTACGGAAGATGACTTTTCACAAAGTACAATCGAACATGTCGAACTTGGATATCTCGAATAAAGGCTTATGTAGAAGTCGACAATCAGTCGAACTTGGATATCTCGAATAAAGGCTTATGTAGAAGTCGACATTTATTCGTTGGTAAAAGAGTAGCCCAAGAGTTGGCGGTGGGTGGTGATGACTAGCTGTCTTCCCTCTAGTCTTACACTGCTAAATTAGGGACGGCTAGGGCAGATAGCCCTCGTGTAGCTTTGTGCGAAATTAAAAACAAACAAACAATAATTGATACAGTAGGGAAGACATGAGTGTGCACATAGCTGCAAAAATTAGTGTCGTACGGTTTAAGTTTGAAACATGTAAATCGCTGGTATAAAAATTGATATATTCACAAATAGGTTGTAAAACACCAGATCCTGCGTTTTCAAACTTATTGGATGTGAAAAAATGGTGAAAATAACTGTGAAGTATTAGGTGGAATAATTGTTAAAAGTAAGTGAATGTGACTGGGTGGGATTTACCGTCACATTATAATGCCCCCACGGCTGAAAGGGCAAGCATGTTTGGTGTGACGGGGATTCGAACCCGCGACCCTCAGATTGCGAGTCGAGCGCCCTAACCACCTGACCATGCCGGGCCGAATATCAATTATAATCAGAAGCTTTTACGAATACATTACAATAAATACTTATAATGTTACTTATATCTCTGGGTAACAGAAAAACAAATCTGGAAGTTTTTGGATATATTTGTGAAACCTTTATTATCATTTCTTTGTTTAACTTTTTCTTTTGTTTTTTGGTTACTTAAATGAAACGATTGCATTTGTATTTCGTATTAATGGCAAAGCTACTAAGGCTATTTCCCGTTGTCTCTAATTTTGAACTA